AATGTTAGCTTAAGAAAATTCGATAAGATTAATAGATAAATGCATGCTAAAGTATCACCATGTAAAGTGTCAGAAGTTTTGGTGTGTTGTTGTCAGCATGCTTGAAAAAAGGTAAAACTAATGTTTGCATTCAACCTCCAAGTGTCCAACACTCAGCTTTATACCCTGATGCTCAGCTTTATACCCTGTGTATGAAAAAAGAAATGCACCATCAGCAGTACATGCAAACATTATAGACAATAATGATGCTTTTGTTAGAAACACTTTGATGTGTTTCTAACTCTTTCAGCATGATTAGCACCTTTCCGGAATATAATTTGTTTTGATTTTGAGTCATCGAAAATGTGATTTTGTAAATAATTTTTTTACAATTTATAAGATACTATAAAAAATGTTCTGCCACAAAACATAATATGAAAAATGATGAAACTATGATAAAAATATGATGAAACTATGATGCAACTATGATGAAACTATGATGAAACTATGATGAAACTATGATGAAACTATGATGAAACTATGATGAAACTATGATGAAACTATGATGAAACTATGATGAAACTATGATGAAACTAGTCTTTTATCATAATTTATTATGTTTTGTGGCAGAACACTTTTTATCTTCTAAATTATTAAACAATTTACTTACAGAGTCACATGAAATTGCAGCACGCTTTCTACAAATATTTATTTTGACATGCTCGATGAGACAAAAGAATTTTATGCCGCTCTAAAAATGATCTTACACACTCATCACCGTGCAAATTTTTTTAAAACTTAGACAGTCTCTTCGAAATTTGTTAAGAAAACTTTGTATAAATTTGTAATCATTTGAGGTTTATTTTATCAAATACATAGCCGAAATCACTAAAAATTGCAATGTATTGCAATTTTTTATAATTTATAAATAAAACTACAGTATTGTTCAACAGAATACTTTTTCATCTTTCTCTTTCTTTTTTGTTTGTTGAGCGAGCTCTGTTTCTTGGAGTTGTTGAATAAAATTAACTATTTCACGTCGAGAAATTCTTTCATACTGGTTACGACTTCTAGCTAGTTACGACTTCTAAAAAAACGAGTGAACATAAAAAAGAGTTTGTTGCTTTAATGTAATACATAAAAGCAAATAAAACTTGATTAGCTAGTAGAACACATTAGACTTACTGACTGTTAATTCAAAAAAAGCTGATGTTTCCAGCGCGGTCTTTTCATTTTGAACCCACTAGGTTAGATTGGGACAGGAGTCAAACGTTAAACAGTCTAAAAATATACAAAAATGAGTGTGCTAACGAAATTTACAACCATCAAAATGACTGTATAACGATGTATTTTATTATGTAGTACTTAAATCAAACAAAATATTTGCACCTCTCAGATTTGCTATGAAAGCCAAGTTGTTGAATACAGATATTGATATTTTTCTGTCTTCTATGACATGACTTTTTAATTGAATTTTGCTGAAATTAAGTGTTGTAGACTCATAACAGTTTAAAAATGATATACATATTGATACCATTTTACTGGCACCACGCCATCCACTATATGCTCCTTCCAATTAACATTTTCAAGCTAAACAGCTGCAATAATATATATATATATATATATATATATATATATATATATATATATATATATATATATATATATATATAAATTAGTAGAAAATCACTTAAAAATATTACGTATATTTTACATAATATATTACTTTATTATATAAATTATAAAATAAACCCGTTTACCAAAAATAGTTAGTTTATTATTAAATTTTATATGCAAAAACGTTTCACATGAATATATATATATATATATATATATATTATATATATATATATATATATATATATATATAAAGACATAACAAATCATAAAAAAGACGTCTTTTATTCGTATGGTAGTAACAAACTCTTTTGACCAACCACACTACTTTTGCATAAACAACTAATCTAACACCTTAAAGCTCTGTGTGGCATGTTTAGTAGCCTTGCTACACGTTTACAAGTTTCTCTATCATTAACCAGTTCGATAGCTCTTTAAGTTCACTACCTGAGTAAGTTTTGGACTATTTGATTTGACTGTTTGATTTTAAGTAAATTCTCACCATTTCCAAAAATCTGTTATAAAAAAGTGAAAAATATGAGCTAAAAGCTCAAAATATTAGTATCTTTAAATATTAATTTTATTATCAAAAAAATTTCAAGAATAAAAGCCAGTTAATTCAAAAGGTGCTCATTTACCACATATAAAAGTGCTCAATTACCCCCACCTTACTTTATACACCTATATTTTATGATCATTTAATTCATTTGAATATTTGAAAACATGTACGAGCTTACTTTAAGATATAAAATACCTGCCCTCAACGAATTCAAGATCGATAATAAGGTCAACGATAAGTTAAACAGATTTACTTCTGAAAATTGTATTTCAAATTAAATTATAGTATAAATATAAAACACAATGATACCTTAATGTATACTTTTTTATTAATCTCACTAGCTCTCCTTACGGCATCCACAATATCTTGTGAATCTGCACAACAAATAGTTCTTTTTTCCTACTTTTTAGATTCCGTTGTTAAAGGAAGGGTGATGCATATATAACATCACCCTTCCTTTAACAACGGGTTAATACTATATGCTGTGATGCATATATAGCATTGCATTGTCTATCTACTCTAATTCTAGTTTCTTTTTTATTTATAATATGTCATCATAGTTTGGCATAGTGTCTCTTGGAGCGTATTTGACACAAAACCCTTCGCAGCCATTGCAACCGAGGTAATGGCGAGTGAGAATTGCAGCAGCTTTGTTTTATAAGAAAACGTGAACGAACGCGTATTTAAATATCTTAAAACATAATGAAACATTTATCAAGTTTTACAGTTTGATTTTTACTTGAAAATTGCATTGCGTCAAGCCCTTCTTAATTTTGATATGTTACATTTTTTCCTTAAAAAAATCATTACATTGTTTTAAAAATATTCGCTTGAGAATGTTCCGAGCAGATACTTGTTCAGAAGCCGAGCTTCTGAACAAGTATCCCGAGGTTCGATTTTTACCAATGGCAACTTTTTTTAATTAATTTTTTTATTATTATTTTAAAATGCAAAATAATTTTAAAGTTTTATAAAGATTATATACGAACATATGTAATGTAACGATATCATACTCTTTCACAAAAAAAAAGATTTTAAGAAAGCTAAAAGTTTCATAAAACATCAACAACTAAAAAAAACATCAACAGAAGAAAAAATTTGATGTTTATGTATGATAACTGACACTTTGTTATTAATGTGCTCAGGTAATTAGTCCTAATAAGCAGCTTATTTTGTAAAAAAATCAAAAATAATATTTTTCACCTTAGGGCGATTTAAAAAACGGCTGGAGTATGGGTGATAAAACGAATATGTTAAAATGAGATAATTTGACGCAGAATTTAAAAGCTCTAAACAAAAGCCAGTAAATCAAAAAAATTAAAAATAATTGCTTAAAAATGTTATTATAGTAAAAGTTTTTATTTTAGTGAATATAGTAATTGTAGTTCAAAAATTTATTATAGCACTTAAAAATTTTATTATAGTGCGATGGTTTTTGCAAGAAAAACACTTTATAAATCATTTTTTAATTTTAACATAAACTATTTTTTTTAAAACTTTGTTGCGCTTAACCAAATTTTATTCTATTGTTCGTTCTGACATGTTCAATTTGTCGTTGGTCAGATTTTATACTTTATAAAACACATTTTTTAGCACATTTTTTTTCAATTTGTATAACGCAATTTAAAACTACATTTTCTAATATTCTGGTGAGTTTTTGTTGCTTCCAAAATGAACACTTAAGTCTTTACACAATTCTTGCTTGGTTATTATTTTTGTTTTTGTAAAAAAAAATCGTTTTTAAATGCAATTAACGGGGATCAGTGCCGGTTTAACCAACGGACACACTGGACACGTGCCGGAAGGCGATGGAGTTGAAGGGGCCAGAGCATCTAAGTGAATTTTCAAAAGGTATATAATTTGAAAAAAAAATTATTATTGGCCTCTACCCTTGACTTCCTTGACTTTCTTATGTCCCATAGATTTTAATCTTTGCAATAACAGCAAACTGTATGTTTTATATATTTAACAACTTGAGAGAACTTTCAAGTTTGAGTATAATGGTAAAAAAAAAAACACTTTAAATTGGATATTTAGTTATTGTTTATTCTCCAGTGGATTATAGTTCAAAAAAGTTAGATTAGTATGCAATCAACATTTAAAGTTGTCGTGGTCAGTCATACGACAATGCCAGTAATATGTCTAGAATCTACTTTGGTTTACAAGCAAGAATTAAAGAGATCAACGTTCTCTCCGAATACATTCCATGTGCAGCTCAATATTTGAACCTCGTAGGAGTGAGTGCCGAGGAATCCAACGGAGCTGCTGTTAATTTCTTAAACTTTCTTCAAGAAACTTATAACTTCTTTTTTGTATCAACAGGCCCGCCGTGAGCCTTTGCGGCGCCCAGAGTCAAAATTTCCCAAGCGCCCTGCTGAAAGTGAAAGCTGATCTAATGATCCATAATTCAATACATATAATAAGCTATTTGATAACAAATCAAAGAGGATAAAAGAATATAGAATTTTTTAATTTTAATTAATAAACATTTGAACAGTTTATTTCTAGATAATTGCAATGGTCTTTTGACTTGGTTATACACTCATACATAAAATAATAAAGTCGACACTAGAACATGGTAGAAACAGACCAAAGACAATCATTAAACACTATTGGATGTTAAGAGCAAAAATTTGTCTAGAATACAACAGCTATTGTTGTTTCAACTTCAGAGGAAATTGATCTTTCGAGCTTTACTCATAGCGAATTTGGAAATCACTTTACCGTAGCACAACTTTTCGGCAAGATCATGCTCAATGGAAATAACCAGAAGATTCGTGAGTCGTTCTTGGCTCATTGTAGACCTTAAAGCTGTCTTAACTAGAGCAAGCTAACTAAAAGATCTCTAGCCTTCCGCAACAGAAACAGGGATGGTGTTGAAGATGCACAGCAAAATGCAGACTGATTCGAAGAGCAGCTGAAGACCTTTCTGGTATATTCCATTCAATAACGTCATGAAAGTGAGAGATTTTTTTGGACCAAAAAGATTGGATCGCTTCAGAGCATTGAGGTGGCGGACCTCTTCAATAAGTTTCTCTTCCTCAACATCGGTCGCGTAGATTTGTGCCAAGACCTTGCATTTCTCCTCCAATTGGATAGGTGCTTCATCAATTTCTTCTGATTCTTCTTCATTTGACATAACAAGAGATTTCAATGACCACAAGAACGAAAACATATTCGTCGTCTTCTCAGCAGCTTGGAATCTATCGCTGACCTGCTGAATAAGAGTATCAAGAGCGGTATTGAATACGCTTACCTCAAACTCTTTTGCTTTGTCTTCATGGAAATGAGCGGTGTTCCTCACCTCTTCGTGAATGGTCTTCCTTTTTTTCGTCCTCTTCTTCACAAATTCTGATTGAAAACCAGAAGAAGCAAGACCAGATGCTATCAAACGTGCCTCATTAAGGATGCTGGTCCAAGATGATTTCAGTCGATTTAGATCTTCAATAAGAGTCTTAATGAGTTTCATCTCGTCGTCCAAGGAGATATTTTCTGATTGGAGTGCAAGGCTCACGTAGTTGATTGATTGAAGAGTTTTATACCAAAAGGTTGTCATTACAATGAACTCGAATGAATGAACCCACTTCTCCAGAGATTTTACTTCATTCAATTGATCAGCTGTTAGATCAAAATCGCGGAGCTTTTTCAAAGATTCGAGGATTTCCCTGGGTCGCTTGACTAACGGCTTCACGGCCTCGATTCGCGCACACCATCTGATTTGCGACGTTTGATGAAGGGACAAACCAGTGGTTTCAATCAAGACTTTCCACCGACTAGGGCTTCCACTGAAAAGCTTGTAAAGTGACTGGACTCGGCCAAAGTAGTTATTGACTTCAACCGAAGATTCAGCAGAATGAACACCAGCAAGGTTGAGACTATGAGCGCTGCATGGCATATAGAGAGCTTGAGGATTTTTTTGCAGTATAATTGCCTGTACTCCTTTGTATATACCGGACATGTTCGCTCCATTGTCATATCCTTGACCTCTGCAGTTTTTGAGATCGATTCCATTTTGTTCTAAGACGTCCATAATAAGCTTGGCAATGTCAGCACCTGTCTTTTTTTCAAGATTCTCGACCCTCAGAAAGCGCTCCTTCACGGTCCATCTTTTGTCAATACCAAAGTATACAAAGCGGAGAACAAAGGTGATTTGCTCGGTCCGGAGTCCCGTCCACAAGAATGGAATAGTAGATGGCCATATGAGCTTCGTTGATGATGGGACCGTGAACGATTCCTCCGCACTCTTTGATGAATTCATTTTGAGTGCTCCAGCCCAAGTAATGGGCATTCATTTTGTTACCTTCTTGTTGGCAGCGGGAAACTTCTTCTAAGTGTAGTTGGAGAGTCTTGTTGTGCTTGGCCAAGAGCTCTAGGGTAGCTAGAAAGTTGCCATTGTCGTCATCTCCAATCATTTTTGATGAACCTAAAAATTATAATAATAAAACAGATTTATTTAAAACAATAAAGAAGCATTTGTTATATTTTATGATGATTCTATGATAATTTTATACTATGATTTATGAATATTATAACATATTTATTTAAAAGAATAAAGAAGGATTTGTTTTATTTAATGATTTCCAAAATATCTAGTTAATCTAATAAATATAAGCTAAATAGATTTAAAGATAGTCGATATCACAATAGAATAATGGTAAATAGATTTACCTCTGAAACTAAGGTTTCGTGACGCTAAAAAAAGAGTAACATCTAAGATGCATCGTAGAATTTCACGCCACCTAGATGCTTCATTTCTTATCGCGTTTTCAAGAGCTGCATCTATTCCGCTTTAATTTTCTAAGCTTTCTAGCGCCGTTTTCCATTCTATGCTGGGCGTTATTCTGGTGACTTTTGACTTTCTCAGGTAAGTTTCGATGCTGGGCGTTATTCTGGTGACTTTTGACTTTCTCAGGTAGCTTGTGCCAGTTGCAGCTTATTCCATCATTCCATCTTAGAAGGTGCGACTGGTGTACGATCCTAAAAGATTGTTTGCTTCCAAACAGAGAACACGGAAAGCAAATAAATGATTTCTTAGATACACTCCAGACCAGCCAATCTCGGCATGTCTTCTCCCCGTTGAGAGAAGTTTCGTAGAAAATTGATTCTGGAACCTTCTTCTTATTAGAATCTTTCGAGAAAGCTGAAGGATTTTGAGGAAACCCCTGTAGAAGCACAGAATCTCTTTCCACTTTGGAAAGATGTGCTGCCCACAAAGCAGGATCATTGGAAGGAATGGTAGCGATGGGTTCTTCTGTTGGCAACACCTGAGAATAAATTTTAAAAAATCTTATTTTATTAGCTTAAAAGTTTATTAACATCATTTCTTTTAAAGAGGTAGAACTTAC